GAATTGCGTTTTGTGTACATGTATAAAATCAGGTACAAGTAAATACAATATAATCCGGTTTTAGTGTTTCACACGAGTCGCAGTTTATAGGGCGTGAAGAAGACGAGGGTAATATAGGGCGTGGGTAAGACGAGGAAGTAATCGAATAATATTTTAACTGTAAGGTAATCGTTTGACGGTTTTGTAAATTGTAAACTCATGTTTTCCCAAGTTCAGTCCTAAATTATTATTACTATTAGTAATGCTAATAGTATTAGTATTACTAATACTAGGTTCGCATCGAGTCTAAAGAGGTCGAGGTTATATCACACGCCTCACAGCTGAGCAGGTTCTATCCCAGAAACCACCGCAGCCTACTCCCTAACCCGAACCCCAACCTTTACCCTAACCCTAATTAAATTTAATTAGCACTAAAAGATTTTTTTTTATTTTTAATTAAATTGTAAATAAATCATGTAAATATTTGCGTTAATTAGGAAAAAATAGTTGAATGGATAAAAATAAAAAAAATAAACGGATGGGATTCGAACTAACGCCCTTCAGCCGTAACGCCAGCCGCTTTACCAGCTCGGCTATTCAGCGGTATTGGAATTATATATTATGGATGTGCCATGCATACATGCATCGGTGCGGTGGTTTCTGGGATAGCCTGCGGTGAGGGGTGTGATATAACCCTAACCGTCTAAAGAACGACGTGGATATTCGTCTGAGCATCGGACACCTGTTCGTATGCGCTATTCGTCCGAGCAGTTGTTGCGCATGCGCTGCATCATATAGGTCAGTGCATGCGCACGGCACGAGTGCCAGAGGTAGGAAGTGTGAAGGGGGGAGAGCCCCCCAGAAAATTTTGAAATCTAGACACTCTAAAATGCCAACTTACTATGAGTGTTTTGCTACGGCAGCCCTACGGCTGTGACGCCCCTGCATACATGTGTATGTTGTTATACACCATAGATTGTGTTTCGTACTATGATTCGCGTATATAAGAAATCCGAGTCGGTTTAAATTATAGTTAGTGTTAGGGTTAGGTTGGGGGTTGGGATTAGAGAGTAGGTGTGTTAGGGAATAGGTGACTCCCTAGACTAGGATTATATTACATTTACACTGAAAATTAAAAACTGCCTGATTAGAGAGTAGGCGTGTTAGGGAGTAGGCGACACCCTAGACTAGGATTATATTACATTTATGTAATACAACATGAACAGCGCATGCGCAACAACTGCTCGGACGAATAGCGCATACGAATATACATGTGTCCGATGCTCGGACGAATATCCACGTTCTCTAAAGAAAGTAAAGACGTAAAGTAGGCCTAAAGACTAACACTAACAGTAACAGTAACAGAGTGGCTATATGCCCGGCAGTTTTTAATTTTTAGCGTTATCCCATGTAAACAAGGGTTAGGGTTAGGAATAGGGTACAATAATGTAACCCAAACACAGGATAGCGTTACAACGCGAGCCTATTCTTTTCTTTGGAGGAACCCATGAGTGAATCACTCGGGGTGGTTTGCTGGTGCGTTTTCAGAGACTAGAACTTCCAAACTGGGTTTATTCTCAACACGAACCTTTCTCCGCTATCCTGGAACTTACTATGTATCACAATACTCTGTATTAAACTAATAAGTAATATAACCTCAGGTTACAAAAATTCGAAGTGACGAGCGGCGATACTTCGAGCACCATTTCTGTTGACCTGTGACGTACAGATTCCCAATGCGCATAGCGTTCGGCTAACTTCGACTCCAAGATCGAATGTATCATTGGATACCTGCTGACAGTCGTGACGTCACAACGAAGTTAGCCGAACGCTATGCGCATTGGGAATCTGCGTCACAGGTCAAGAGAAATGGCGCATGAAGTATCGCCGCTCGTCACTTCAAATTTTTGCAACAGGTTATATTAGTTTAATACAGATAGTTCCAGGATAGCGAAGAAAGGTTCGTGTTGAGAATAAACCCAGTTTGGAAGTTCTAGTCTCTGAAAACGCACCAGCAAACCGCCCCGAGTCAGGCACCTCCCTACGTTGCGCAAACAGGCGCGGCCGCCCCATTTGGGAAACCCCCCCCTCCGTTTCAATCGTTGTGCCACGTTTAAATTACCTCCGCCCCGATCGTTCGTTTGTTGATGCCACCATTTTGCGAGCAGTAACCAAAGCACACTTGTGTGGTTTGCTGTCATTGGCTGGTCACCCTCACTGCTAAGCCAATCAGCAGAGAGCTCTTTTGAACAGTTCACACATGCGCATAGTCAAAAACTACATGAGGAACAGGCTGAGTGAGTCAGCTTTGGAGGCGCTGAGCTGCTACTGGTAATTGAGGGGCCACCTCGGCAAGAATTCCCATTCGACCAGGTCCCCGGACCCCCCTAGTTCCCCCCCCCCTGTTTCAATTTCATCCTGGGGAGAACCCTGTGAGTGATTCACTCAGGGGTTCCTCCAAAGAAAAGAATAGGCTCGCGTTGTAACCCTATTCTGTGTTTGGGTTACATTATTCCCTCAGCCCAACGGAGTTGGAGGAGGTTATGTTTTCGCTCTCGTGTGTTCGCGTTAGACTGGTACTCGCT